AGGAGAGGTGCACTGGGAGCCAGGCTGCACGGCGAGTGGCTCTGCAGCCATCACGGTGCTGGTGGCACCCGGCCCCGGTGCCGTGACCGAGGCTGGCAGGTATGTGCCTGTTTGCCTTGGCTGTCCCAGCTGCGTGCCCCGTGCCTGAGCGGGTCCCTGCTAAAGCAGCCACCACCGCCTCGCTCTGCCCACCCCGCAGGGCCATGGTTCCTTGCAGGAGGATCCTCCCGGGGAGAAACCACCTCTGCGCTTCCCTCTGCTGAGCCCGCGAAGCCAGCAAAAGCCTTGAATTTTTCCAACAGTGGGCTTTGCTGCGTGGGGGCATAGGGCTGTAGAGACATGGGAATTGATGTCATCCCTGCGGCATCATCACTGAGGCAATGAGGTGCAGGTTAAATGACTTGCCCAGGGCCACCTGGGACATCTGTGTCATTGGACACCTGAGCTCCGCTCACAGCCTGGCCACCAGCAGCTTTAATGATCGGTTTCTCCTGTCCCCACACATGGAAGTCAGCAGCCGGTGACATGCCTGTGATATTTAGGAGGTGCTGGGCTGTGGCTTTGGGCTGTGGCGGTGGGTGGACACAACAGCACGAGTGAGCAGGCACCCACCCAACGCAGAATTAGGTCTCTCAGCACTTTTTCCCTGCCAAGTCCCCATGGGCTGTGTCACATTAGTCTGACATTGGCCCTGGTTTAAAAAAAAAGGCTCATCTCAGTTCCATGGGGTGTCCTGAACTGCTGGTTTAGGGACGATGGGGACAGTTCTGCTGTGGTCTGGGAGAGGCAGCGCAGCCTCGGTGGGCTCTGCAAGGCACTTCGAGCATCCCTGCTCCTGGAAAAGGGGCTGGGGGAGCCCTGCTTCTCACTCCCACCCTGTACTGACCGAGCTCCCAAAACCAGACTTACCGACGAGTCTCTGTCCCAGTCTCAGTCTCCCTTCCTCGCTGCGTGGTCTCCAGTCCCAGCCACCGTGCATGGCAGGGGCATCCTGCGGGGTGAAATGGGACCCTGCCAGGCACAGAGCCGAGGGTGCAGCAGGGATGGTGGCTGAACAGCACGGCTGAAACAGGAAAGTCTGCTTTGCCAGCCCAAGAACCGGCCAGCCCCAGCGGCTCTGTCGGCCCCACCTTACCGCTGACCCAAGCGGTGCTCACGCAGGCGAAAAGCCAGCGGGGAACTCCCCACCAGACCAGGAAGCAAAACTTGCCCTCCTGCCTGTCAGAAGCCAGCGGGCATCGCTGCCCAGCTCTGTGCCCCAGCAAATTTGCTTCTCCAAATTATCCCTGCAGCGATGCTGGGCTGGACCACATGGCTGCAGGCACTTAGCACAGGGGGAAGGATGCTTGCAAGGGGACGGGTGCATGGCTGCATCCATCCCTGGTGAGCTCTGTGCTTGGGGAGCCCAGCTCGTGGGTCCATAGGGGCAGGCGGGGGTTTAATGCACCATGCAAGGGCCTGGGAAATGCGTGCAGCAGTGGGGATGAACAGGGATGCTCCGCTCCAACACAGCAGGGAGGGCAGACAGGGTGAGGGGATACTGCTTGGGTGGCTCCATCCCCCAGTACCAATGGGAGCAGCACCAGGCACACAGCCAGAAGTCATTTCACCTGCATCCCTGTCAGACTAAATTTATGCTTGCACACTTCTTCCTTTGCTGCCAGTTCAGCAAAGTCAGCCCAAAACACGTGTTGTCATTACGGAAATTTGGGGTGGTGCTGGAAGCAGGGAGCGATACCACCAGTGCCCGATGGCTGACATGGACATGGGGGGAGAGGGCCCAGAAACCAGACCCGTCCCGGCTCTGCCCATCCACTCTGGCTCACCGGTTCTGCCAGATTTTCATATGGCTGTCAAGGCATTGCCACACTGGGTCCCTGGCTATGGGAGAGGTGCCAGGGCTGCCCCTCAGCCACCCGAAACACAGCCATGCTCCCAAGCACCCTGCAGTCCTGCCACTCAGAGAAGCATCATCTCCAGGAGCAGAAAATGCTGCGGGAATGATGCTGCAGTAATCATCGGGGCACGGGAACCTAGACGCCAAAATATTTTTTGCACGGAAGAAATGCCTAAGGGGAAACGGGGAAAAAGGGAACATGCCCAATAAAATCAGTCAGGGAAAGGGGGTTTACATATGCATGCTAAAAGCTGAGCGTATCACTAGCCTTTTCAACAGGCTGTTTGCTAGAGACAAGCACCTCGTCAAAGTCAAGCTGTGCGGGACTCCAGTCACAGCCCGTACTTTGGGGGGAGATTTGGTGATGGTGGTGATAACCTGGTGCCAGGCAGGGGAACGGCTGCTTGGCCTTCATGCAGGTAAGTTTGGTCTCCTTTGGCAGGAGCCAGGCTGGGGAGGCAGCTGCTCTGGGCCACCTCCCAGCAGCGGGTCAGGGACGTGCCCTGGCTAGGCAAGGGAAAAGCTGCAGGGTGGCACCAGCTCCTCTGTGTGTCCATCCCCCCCCCACCCCCAAATCTCACTCTTGGGCAGAAAGGGGGTGTTGAAATACCCTGGCAGCATGAGCTTGGCAGGGCTGGGTGCTGCACAGCCCAGCTGGAAAAGCAAGACCCCAGCTCAAAAATCACCCCTGCTCAGGGCAGTGTGTAAGAGGCAGCTTTCAGAAAAGAAGGGAGAAGGGACCCAGAAACATTACAGTAAAATCGCAAACGTGGTAAGCCCCCGCTGCACCCTGCCATGCTCTGCACCAGCCTTTCTCCCTGGCCCAGCTCCCTGCATCTGCCCACACACGCTGCAAGCCGCCCTTGAACCAGTACCCCTATATTTTCAGCCAAAACCACAACCATTATGTATTCAAGGGCTGGGAAATGAGAGGTCTGTAGGCATGCTATAAATACCCCAGCTACAGAAATAGACATTGCTGCGGCACTTGTAGGCAGCAAGCAGCAACTGAGCACAAGCTCTGAGGGAGCCCAAAAATCAGGAGCAGGGCTGAGCCCCTTCCCCAGAGCGTGGCCATGGCCTGGGTGGCCATGAGCCGCCTGTGCGGTGCCGGCTGGGAAATGCAGTCTGACCGGGGCATGATGCCAACTCACCCAGCTGCCTACAAATCCCAGCACGCCGGGGAACGGAGCTGTACCCCAGTCTGGTTCCTGCCTCCTTCCTGCCAGCACAGGGAGGGGGAAATATAAACAGCAGCATCTTGGGCAAAGTTGGGATGCTGCCACCGGACAGGCTGTGCCGAGGAGGAGAGGCAACGCTCACGGTGAGTTTGGGCTTTTCTCTTTAGCAAAATCCTGGCTGTGTGCAGCAGGGTAATGCCCGCTCCGTGCTACGCAGCTATGGGATGAGCTGCGGGGACCAGCAAGCATCCGCCTGAAACGCTTTCCTGTGTTGTCCGACATGGTGTGCATGGGGGGGTGCTCGCAGCAGAGATGTGTGCGTCTGCATATCTGCTTGTAAACCATCATTAGAGGCTGCCAGATGGAAAGGAGAAGTCCGGCTTGGTTTGCAGCACTTGGAAGAGCAGAGCAGAAATTAGAGGTGGTGTTCTCCCCCCGGGAAGGGCTGCTTAGCTCCATTGCCTCCTCTCATTTAATTTTCACTTCCAGAAAAGGACTTGGCTGAAATTCTGTCAGAGGAAAGCTGCTCCCTACTCAGTGGGGCTGGTGGTTGCCACCTTCTGCCCCGCTCTCTGGGAGGAGACCCCTTCCCAGCATGGGGTATGGGCAGAGGAGGCAGAGGGATGCTCGGCATCTCCTGGCTTTC